AAGAAGAACAAGAACAACAACACGAACACGAACACGAACACCAACACGAACACCAACACGAAGAACAACACGAACACCAACCACAACAGCAACAGCAACAGCAACAACAACAACAGCTGCTGCTAGTGCCCCTGCTCCTGCTCCTGCTCCTGCTACTGCTACTCCTTCTCCTACTCCTACTCCTACTACTACTACAACAACAACAACTACTACTACGACTACTACTACGACCAGTACTGCTACTACGACTACTACTACGACTACTACTGCTACTACGACGACTACGACGACTACGACGACTACTACGACTACTACGACTACTACGACTGCTACGACTACTACGACTACTACGACTACTACTACTACGACGGCTACTACTACTACTACTACGACGACGACTACTACTACTACTACGACGACGACGACTACTACTACGACTACTACGACTACATACTACTACTACTACTACTACCACGACGACGACGACGACGACTACTACTACTACTACTACTAGTATTAGTACTAGTACTAGTACTAGTACTAGTACTGCTACTACTGCTACTACTGCTACTTTTACAGCTACAGCTACAAGTCAAACTACAAGTCAAACTACAACAATATCAGCTACAGCTACAGCTACAACAACAGCTACAGCTACAGCTGCAACTACCACTACGCTACACTACACTTCACTACACTACCGCTGCAGCTACAACTACAACTCCACGACCCTACACCCCACTTCACCACACTACAGTACCACAACACTACAACTACAACTACCACAAGAACTACTACAGCTACAGCTACAACTGCAACATTACAACTTCAACAACATCAACTACAGCCACAGCTACAGCCACACTGCAACACAACTACAGCGACAACTACAACTACAATGACATTGCGCTACGCTACACCACACTACGTCCAGCAGTTGTGGGTGAGGTGACCACTGCAACAACTCGAAAAAGCACAACCACCTTTCGGTCCATCAGTGGGTTCGCTCTGCCATCCATGCATCACAACAGCTCACCTCTCCTATAGTGTCCTATCTTTGAAACTTCCGCCACCGCCTTGTGCGGTACTACTGGTAACCAAATGTGTTGTGTAATTAATATTGTGTATAGGATTGGGTGTGGTTGAGTAGTGGGCTTGCAGGAGTGCCTACGATAGGCATCTTCAACTTCTAAACAAGCCCCCATGATCCCAGTCAACCTGCCGGCAAACCTGCATTTGCGGGAAGTAACGGCCACACTTAAAATTGTCTGGGGCCTGTCACTGTAACAGCAGGTGGTCGGCCTATCTGGTTGGTCCTTTGCCAAAGTTAATGGGGCCCAAAGCCAACTGATAGAAATTGAAGCGCCGCAAGCGATCATTGAAGGGCACCGACCAGAGTTTGAATCTTCCATGTACCCAACATAGCCCACCTTAGACCCGTTGACAATGTGCATTCTCCACGAACCAGGGAAGCATACAACTCAGTCTACCTATATGAGTTTCCCTAGTGATCAATTCGAGCTGGCAACGACCTCACAAAATACCAAGCACATTGAACCAAGAGCTTCAGCCCCCCACGTCCTCCACGCTCGCATCGCTACCTGCTTCGTCCATCTCCCCCGATAGGTTGGCACCCCCTTCTGCGCCAGAGGAAATGGTACGGGCTGCGGCAGCGGCGTTGCGCTGCTCGGGGTAGAGGCGACAGGAGGCACCTCCAAGTAGCGAAGCCCCGTTGGAAACACAAAAGGCAGCTGGAACAAAATATTTTGGTCTTGAACATCGTTTACTCTTGGACTAACAAAGTGGGTAGTACAAAGGGGACCCGTCAAACATCATGAAGCAATGTAAAGCAATCATCATTTGCGGATTAGCTAGATATGATTTATCACTGTGTAAGTTGGACATACTTACATAGTTATGCCCCAGGCAGCTCGTTGTTTTCTCTCCAAGAATTGGTTGAAGCGAAAGCGTGCAAATTCACTTGAAACCATCAAATATAAATATAGTAAAAGAACTTCCTCATTTTCCTGATCATTTTCCCAAAAACAACCGGTTCATCTTTCCTTTCCCCCCTTGACACCACCTACAAAGCCGTTCACCGCAGGGTTCTGGCCGCACACCACCAGACGCTCCGCAATCAATGTGTTTGACCTGTCGTCGGCTGCTTCGGCTGCGGATGCTTTGGTGAAGACGAGCTCACGATCCCCATCAGCTTGCCTTGTTCCAGGAGGAAATCATTAGAAACCAGTGAAAGATTTTATATTGGGGAATCATTCGTTTGAGGGAAGTGTAGCCAATAGATCCTAATCATATGTCCATAGTAGGATGATCATCAGTCAAAAGCCCAAAGACATGCCATTGAATTTGTTATCCCAATTTCTGTTGGATTTCAATTGGGACAAATGACAAGTAAGCTCGCGAAAACTCATTTCTGTACATTTACTGATTATTCAGAGAAACACTGTGGACTTTCTTTTTGAACACCTCGCAATACCATAGCACAATTGATTCGCATCAAATGGTTAGATTACAACCCCTGTTATTCGTGGTGACAGAGCATCAGGCAAAATGATAATGTTCAGAACATTCAAGAGCCTCAGCAAAAAACACTTTGGTGGATAATTCCTTCTTCTTAAGCGCGAGGGCGCCCAGTGAAATCCTTGGTCATTGAAGTTAGTCAATGTTTCTTGCTTGGTGGTTTCATTGGCTTTCTTTTTCCGGCCAATTCAAAATGGGACGGCCATGGGACGACAATGCTTACTGAATATATAGTAAGACATGTCGAAGTCAATTCCATCCCAGCAGTAAGCTCCCAGTTTCCGCATGGAAAAGCTGGATCACCATCATGTGTTGTAAATAGAGAAATGACCGCGTCCAGAAAATCAAAGAACATAAAAAAGAAACAAACATATCAGCAAATAGTTGCCCGACTGGAGCACTAATACGTTCCAGAAGCGGCTTAGGCACGGCTCGTGACTGGTCAGTAAATGTTGTCTTTGCGGGAAGTAGCGCATTATCCCAAATGATCCCAAATGTATCTCACATATCTCGATTCAACAAGGATGCCCAAATTGTCAAACATCCTCGCCCTATGCCCGCCTAGATATTACTTGCTGACTTAGCCTAGGCCCAATCAAACCGTCGCAATGCCCGTTGAAGTGTGCGTGTGTGTATTGTATCCGGCTTGCTGCCATGAAAGGACCGGTCAAGTCTTTTTAAAATCTTTTCCGGCCTACAACAACAGCTGTATCTAAAATCAGGCGGGTTGGCTTGGCTTCGCAACATACCCTTAAAAGAGCTTGAAATCTGTCAGATGGGCTTCGCATGCAGGAAAGCTTCATGGTGGGAATCCTTTGGTTGCAGCTTTCCAAACCATCGCCCAATCTCACATTAATATAAAGCCAGTTGGGGCCTGGCCTTCATTTAAAAAGGCAACGCGCCGTCATCTGCATGTTTATCAGGCAGCTGTTGGCGAATCTCCATCATTCATATCAACATATTATCAACCCCTTTGAACCGCCTCAGACTGGCTGGTTCAATCCTAGGCTGCCCTCCCACATGTGTCAATATCATGATATACTTAATAAATTAAAAACATAAATAAAGAATAAATAAATAAATGTGTATATACATATATCTATATATAAATAAATATATATGTATATATATGTATATATGTATATATATATAAATATGTAAATATATATATATGTGTATATATATATGTGTATATCTATATGTATATATGTATATATGTATATATGTATATATATATATGTATATATATATGTATATATATATATATATATGTATATATATATGTATATATATATGTGCGTGTAACTACCGCGTAAACAAAACGTGTCTCTGTTCGCGTTGAATTTGAAATCCCTCATTTCTATCCATCCACCGACCTACTCAACCTTGGACCCAAGTGTCAATGACCAGCAGTTTTCTCAGTTTCAATCATTAATCCCTGCAGCCCTGTGAACCTCCTACAGCCTGCGAAGGCGAGATGCAAATCTGCGCCCAGGTACCTCACTTTGTGCACCTCAAGTTGAGCATATGGAAACGTGCCGATGGTAAAGTTTGCAAACTCGTGGCTTTACAATATGCTTCCAATATTCTCCAGTACCGTCCAATACCACTCAATATGGGCGCGAGACGAAGACACATGTATTACACCTAAGGGTCAGCAACTCTGGTGTTTGTTCTGCGCGTTTTAGAATGAAACAATGTTCGCGCCATTCGTCAAACCTCTCGATTTAGAAGCCTCAGGCTCCAAGAGTGTCAGAGGGTCTTGGTCTCCAATTCCGAATGGGGATGTCGGAGCCTGGCAAACAACAGGTACACATTCAACATCCAGTTAGATAAGGATATGATAAGAACGTGTGAGCAAGGTTTACATTCATTTATTACCCGGGAACACACAATTTCCAAATTTGCAATCATTTTTGAAATTAAACGGTCCCAGTTTAGGGTACCGCGCGCAATTTGGACCCATCCAAGCACATTTATGAAAGTTAAGACGTTCTGATTCCACTCGGACCGAGAAGCAGCCCATCGTCCACTGCATTCGGTGGCAGCACCCACACTGCGAGGCGGTGGGAATCAAAATCTGGCGTGAAGAAAACAAGTTTGCTTCAACATGGGCTGGTTATTCAAAGGCCCCTCTATATACTAGTCAGTCAAGCAGTGGCACCAGGATATCTATTGTTGGCTTTGTACAGCCCTGCCCGAAGGTGGGAGCATGCACATTCGAATATCTCTGAATCATGTTCGCCAAGCAAGACTCATGCGGTGATGGAGAACCCCAAACCAGACCAAGTCTAACCGTGAGGGTCAGTCATCATCATCACCACCGCCACCGCCACCACCAGCATCATCATCATCATCATCATCACCCTCACCCTCCTCCTCCTCCTCATCATCATCATCATCATCATGATCATGATCATGGTCATCATCGTCACCGCCATCGGCATCGCCATCACCGCCAGGTCAAAACCACGGTGCTCATTATGATCATAATCACGGCAGACATGTCATGGCAATCATGGTCATCATGATCGTCAGGATCATCATGATCATCAGCGTCATGATGATGATGATGATCATCATCTTCATTGTCATCACATCATCACATCATCACCATCACCATCGCCATCGCCATCATCATCATCATCATCATCACCCTCCTCCTCCTCCTCCTCCTCACCATCAGCATCAGCATCATCATCAGCATCAGCATCATCATCATCATCATCATCATCATCATCATCATCCTCCGTCATCCTCCGTCACCATCGATATCATCATTGTTATGGTCATGGTCATGGCCAAGGTCATGGTCACCGTCACCACCACCACCGCCGCCGTTGCCGCTGCCACCGCCATCACCCCCGCCGCCCCGCCCACCTCGCCACCCACGCTTTGCCACAACCACCACCACCGCCGCCGCCGCCACCGCCACCCCCGCCACCACCACTATCATCATTATCATCATTATCATCATTATCATCATTATCATCATTACTAGTATCATCATTATCGTCATCGTCATGGTCATCCTCGTCATCGTCATCCTCGTCATCCTCATCCTCGTCATCCTCATCATCCTCATCATCATCATCATCATCATCGGCAACACATGGCAGCGCATTCATGTATATATATATATATATTTCGGACTGGTGACTTAGGACTTAGGCCACCATAGTGACATAGGATTTTGTGCACCAAGTCCTAAGTCACTGGTGTTCTTACCAGGTGATTTGTGTGCACCAAGTCCTAAGTCACTGGGGTTGTGATTGGATTCAAGCACTTTTTAAGTTAAAAAATAAAAAAAATCTCCTAATAAATCATCAGAATCTACATACTTACATTACATTGCAGTACAGTACATTACATCACTACAATACAGTAAAGTACAGTACATTACATTACACTACAGTACATTACATTACATTACAGCACATTACAGTACATTATATTACGTACATGCACAGGACTTGGTGCACAAAATCGTATGTCACTAGAGGGGCGCAAATCCTAAGTCATCAGAACCTACATACTTACAGAACATTACAGTACAGTACAGTACAGTACATTACACTACAGTACATTACATTACCTTACAGCAAAGTACAGTACATTACATCACACTACAGTACATTACATTACAGTAAAGTGCAGTACATTACATTACACTACAGTACATTACATTACAGTACAGTACATTACAGTACATACATGCATAGGGGTTGGTGCACAAAATCGTATGTCACCAGAGGGGCACAAGTCCTAAGTCATCAGAACCTACATACTTACAGTACATTACATTACATTACACTACACTGCATTACATTATATACATTACAGCACAGTACATTACACTACATCCATGCGTAGGACTTGGTGCACAAAATCGTATGTCACCAAAGAGGCACAAGTCCTAAGTCATCAGGACCTACATACTTACAGTACATGTCAGTACAGTATATACAGTACATTACACTACAGTACATTACATTACATTACAGTAAAGTGCAGTACATTACATTACACTACAGTACATTACATTACAGAACAGTACATTACAGTACATACATGCAAAGGACTTGGAAATCGTCTGTCACCAGAGGGGCACAAGTCCTAAGTCATCAGAACGTACATACATATATTACATTACAATACAATATAATACATTACATCCCAATACATTGAATTTTTTCAATATGTTTCAATTTGTTTAATTGCTTTAAAATACTGTCTGTATACAAATCGAAGGAAAAAATGGAAAATCACAGCTTTTTGTGAAATATGTTATTTTGAAGATGGGCACAAGTCCTAAGTCATCATTTTTTCAACGATTGGCTCGAGGACTTCGACCCAAAAACAGGGTAGTGCAACGGGGACCACAATAGGGAAACACAACGGGGAAACAAAACGGGAAAAAACAGAGAAAAATGAAAAGTGGAAAAAATATTTATATTTTTCAATTTTTTTAATTGCTTTAAAATACTCTCTGTATACAAATCGAAGGAAAAAATGGAAAATCACAGCTTTTTGTGAAATACTTTTTTTTGAAGATGGGCACAAGTCCTAAGTCATCATTTTTTCAACGATTGGCTCGAGGACTTCGACCCAAAAACGGGGTAGTGCAACGGGGACCACAATAGGGAAACACAACGGAAAGTGGGAAACCTCTATGAAATGACCTCTCCGTCATCTCTATAAAATGCTTCGTAAAGCATCTTGGGGCACAATCAAGGGTTTTTTTTTCCACTTTTCATTTTTCTCTGTTGTTTCCCGTTTTGTTTCCCCGTTGCGCTTCCCTATTGTATTCCCCGTTGCACTACCCCGTTTTTGGGTCGAAGTCCTCGAGCCAATCGTTGAAAAAATGATGACTTAGGACTTGTGCCCATCTTCAAAAAAAAGTATTTCACAAAAAGCTGTGATTTTCCATTTTTTCCTTCGATTTGTATACAGAGAGTATTTTAAAGCAATTAAATAAATTGAAAAATATAAATATTTGTTTTTTCCACTTTTCATTTTTCTCTGTTGTTTCCCGTTTTGTTTCCCCATTGTGCTTCCCTATTGTGGTCCCCGTTGCGCTACCCCGTCGTTGGGTCGAAGTCCTCGAGCCAATCGTTGAAAACATGATGACTTAGGACTTGTGCCCATCTTCAAACAAATATTTCAAAAAAATCTGTGATTTTATTTTTTTCAGATAGATATGCACAAATTTTAACATTTCACTATGTTACACAAGCAGCTTTTTCTAGTTTTCAAACTATAAAAGTGACATTTCTCATTTTGCATCATTTCCCCGTTATTGGCCTCCCGTTGTGTCTCCTCGTTGTAACACCCCGTTGTGCCTCCCCGGGGCGGTGATCCCAATGCAACGAGTCGTTTTCCGCTAACGCGCGCGCGCGTTGGCGGAAAGGCAGGCTCGAGAACTTCGATCCAACGACGGGGCAGGTAGTGCAACGGGGAATACAATAGGGAAGCACAACGGGGAAACAAAACGGGAAACAACAGAGAAAAATGAAAAGTGAAAAAACATATTTATATTTTTATTTTTCAATTTATTTAATTGCTTTAAAATATTGTCTGTATATAAATCGAAGGAAAAAATGGAAAATCGCAGATTTTTGTGAAATATTTTTTTCTAAGATGGGCACAAGTCACAAGTCCTAAGTCATCATTTTTTCAACGATTGGCTCGAGGACTTCGACCCAAAAACGGGGTAGCGCAACGGGGAATACAATAGGGAAGCACAACGGGGAAACAAAACGGGAAACAACAGAGAAAAATGAAAAGTGGAAAAAAAAACCCTTGATTGAGCCACAAGATGCTGTACGAAGCATTTTATAGAGATGACGGAGAGGTCATTTCATAGAGGTTTCCCACTTCCCGTTGTGTTTCCCTATTGTGGTCTGATTGTGGTCCCCGTTGCGCTACGTGCGTGATGACTTAGGATCATCTTAATATATTTCTGCTAGTTCATTCCTATGTCATCATGGTTTTACGAGTGGTCCATGCCGCACTAAAAAGAATCAAACATAGTTTCTAATCTCATCGGACACCTGATGAGTTGGGACTTGTCCAGGGGGGGTCCGACGCATGATGAGATAGGACTTGGCCACACCGGGGTATCTTTCACAAGTCCTAAGTCACTCGCTTGAAATATAGGTGGCAGCAGACCCGACTGTGATTGCACAAATAGACATGTATACCATGATTCCAGCACTGTGCGCTATTTTAGCTGCCGACTTATCAGCACAGTTGTTCTCAATATATCCTGGGGCATAGTGTCACAACTTGTAGTGCATGCTGTGCCAGCGCGCCTTTCGATAGAGTGGCATACCCTGTGATAAAAGGTACCTGGTGCAGCCAGACACACTTGTACTCTTCCCAAGAGATATCAGAAGACGTGAGATGCCTGGGTGCAAATTATTCTGGCCATATGAGAATTCTGAAGCCCAGAGATGGTGATTTTATGGCCGCTGGGCAGGAAATTCTTTGAGCTGAAAGCTTCCAAGAAAATGTTGGCTAGACACGGGAGGTCACTTCTGGGCGATCCTTCCAAGCGTTAAAACTGTGAATCCTACTGGTATGGGCATGCAGTATGGTACAGTATGTCCAAAAATCTGAGAAGAAGGAAAACACCAATCACTATGTTCCTTTCCAGTGTCAACCATCAGACTTTAGGGCAGCTAAAATTCACATATTTTGGCCCTCAGGCCCATGGAATCTACATTAGATGATGAACTAATCTTAAATGTTGTTTGGAATTCCTGAAAGCAAATCACATTTTTCGCACGCAAACCAGACTTTGTCAGACTGTACCCGACAGGAAAGGAAGATGTGTTTTCTCCAATGTTTGACAAACGCGTCGTAAGCGGTGTGCGGTTGACACTGGGATAACGCTATACATGGAGGAGTAAGGCCTTGGTCAGAGACGAGCCAATCAACTGGGTATGGTAAAACTGCGATTATCAATGGCCATTTTCGAACAGCACACTATCCAATCTTGGGGTATATACCCAATCTTGGCTCATATCTACTTATTTCATACGCTTTAGATATTTATCTACCCAACTTTTCAGGGTGTTTGGGTGTTGCTTTTCGCACTGCCCACCAACAGGTGCACAATCCACCAAGGGACCATCGGCTCTCAGGGCCAAACGTTCCTGCTGGAGCCCACCATCCTCTCGGGCTGAAGCGTTAACTGGTGGTGTTCCCGGGATTTGTCAATAGAATCATGGTATGTTCTTTGTATGTCAATCCATTTTCAATCAGGCATGCTTATGCACTCATCCAAGCAAGAATCGAGAATCCAAAAATGAGACATGAGACACGACCATTGAGAGTCGAGAAACGAGAGTAGAGAATCGAGGATTCAGACATTGCTGCAGTTGCTAGATGATTCGAGGCCCTGCAACACAGGCAGGGATCCTCGTACAGTGGCGGTGGTGATGTTTGAACAAAAGGG